CAATCAAGCAAGCAAGATAGTTCGTGCCCACTATAAGAGCCTTCAAGAGAAATTCTCCCATGTCTATAAGCAGAAAATGATAGTTGCATATTCAAAAAATAAGAACTTAAATGATAATATTGTTCATAGTAAACTAAAAACAATCAGTACATAACAGATACTATACTTCTCGCCCATTGGGAGATATTTTTTTCTCATTTCAGATCAGAATCAGAATCAGAAGAAAACCCAATATCAAGACCCTTAATCCTAATTTCTAAATAAAGTGTTTGTTCCACCCTAGGCCTGTACATTTGGGAGAATCAAACCCTCCCTTCCCCGAAATCTAAGATTAATAGTTGTTTGGTAGATGACAAGTTAACGTTCGCTTCCAGCGGATGCTGATATCGCAAACTAAGTTTAATCATTAAATTATCTGTCCTCGTAAGTCACATCCAACTATGGTTGTAGTAAATTAGAAGACCTGCCGAAATTCTTACAGATACTAATAGGTTTGATGTATGGCCGTAGCTATTTGCACCGCGACGGTACAAAAAATAAAAATGGGCTTAAAAAACATGGCCATCATTGGCTTAAAAATACAAAAAAACTAGCGCATCCATTGTGTCTTATCATATCCGTACCGTTGTTAGCAACCAAAGAGAAACATCATCTGTACAATCTGTGTTTTTTTTAATCAATATATACAGAAACATCATCTTTACAATCTGTGTATTTTAATTAATACATACAGAAACATAATCTGTACGATCTGTATATTTTAATCAACATATACTGAAACATCATCTGTACAATCTGTGTATTTTAATCAATATATACAGAAACATCATCTGTACAATCTGTGTATATTAATCAATATATACTGAAACATATCTGTACAATCTATGTATTTTAATCAACATATACTGAAACATCATCTGTACAATCTGTGTATTTTAATCAATATATACAGAAACATCATCTGTACAATCTGTGTATTTTAATCAATATATACTGAAACCCCATCTGTACAATTTGTGTATTTTAATCAACATAATACTGAAACATAATCTGTACAATCTGTGTATTTTAATCAATATATACAGAAACATCATGATTTGTGTCTTGAATATATGTAAAAATATTTTCAAATTTCGACAGTGATATGTGAACACTATTACTGATAAACTTAGCTAAAAAAAACATTCCCGTTTCTGAGTCCTACGTACAATTGGTCAAACGGATGGCGATCCTGTCCCTTTCATTAACTAAATCAAGAGCAATATCCCAAATACATAAAATATTGTGAAAACTAAATCCCTCTTTCATATTTCATGATGACAACGTGTTATACGAATTCCAGACCGTTTGAAAGTTACAGCTGTTTGGTTGGACTATTAATGTTTGTTGCCAGCAACAAGTCTTTACATTATAATATAAGGCTACAATGATAATGCACAAATTCTCAGGTCGAAGGTTTTGGTACCCAAAGGTCTAGATTCGGATTTTTCAAATCGGTTCTTCCAGTTACATTTGACGCATTTTACTGGGTAGGTTATCAGAATGGAATGTTCGAAAGCGCTAACGAACAAAGGGGCAATAGAGGTGTTAAGAAAAACGACAAAAACTCTGCAACTACTATGTTTTCTGTTTTTTCGAACAAGCCTTTCGAAACTATTACCAATGACAAATGGCCTCCGAAAATATTGTGAAGTATTCTATTTTGCCACCATCGACATTTTGTAATCAAAATGTATTCGCGTAATTTCTGCATTTGACAATGGCCGGACATTCGCGGCATGGATCCATTGGTCTAACGAGATGAAATATTTAAGTCATATAGGTTTATGACTGCAGAACGCTCTGCTTGTGGACAAAAATTCAGATTAGGCTATGATATGATATGAAATGAGCAAACTAAATTATTTATTCAACGAAAAATTTATTTTACCTGAAAAGATCACCAATACTAGAATCCCAAGGTTATAAATTTTTGCACAAGTCAAGTATTCCCAAAACAAAATATATTACAAATTGATTTTTGTGATGTTCAACTTTTCCGGTGTCAAGTTTGTTTTAAATTAAGCGTTTAAAATACTACGTGTGTTAACTACGTGCAGAGGCTTAAACTTTATAGTCCTCGTGAAGTCAAACGAGATGTTTTATTTTAACTAACATTTCAACTTTGGACGACTGCTGTTTGCTTTAAGATACATCAACTAACAAAAACGAAAATTGTTTTTATACGCCCACATGGAAATGTGGACGCATATTGCCGTCGCCCCTGTCCGTCCGCCCGTCCACAATTGGTTTGTGAACGCAATAGAGACAACAGTTTTTATCTGATTTGAATGAAATTTGGTGTGAACATTTATATTCATGAGATAATGGACCAGTTCGAATTTTTCGATGAACGATTTTATTGCCCTTGACATATGAAAAACGCATCAAAATTTGGTTGTGAACACAATAGAGACTACCCTTGATATACTGAAAATGTATCAGGAAAGTGGGCGTATCTTGGTAGGCAACCACTTGTTTATTTATTGACAGTAATCATTAGAAATTATGTTATTCAGTGGCGAAATGTAAATCATCTGTCGATAGGTTTATTTTTATATTGTTATTGAGTTGTATATAATACGAAAAATCAAATGGTAGCATGATAGACAGAGTAACATACGTCTACTGATAGTTTCAGAAATGACAACAATGTCTTCAAAATACAAATTTTCTCTTATTGAAAAATTTCTTCTATAAGCTTATAACTTTAAAGTTTTAATATTTCATCAATCTACATGAAATATGTTAATCTGTTTTAAAGGGACAATTTGCCATTTTTGGGGGTTGATTTGAGAGACAATTAAAAACAAATTGGTTTTAACGTCGGTTGCTCATGATCTATTTTTATAGCGTCACCCATGACTGTCCGTCCACAATTGCTAGTAAACACTCCGACGAAACTTGGTGTTAGTGTTCATTATCATCCAAGGATGAAGCCTATCGAAAGCGGAAAATGTTTTTTATGCATTCTTTCCCTTGTTCTAAGACTTGTTTTTAGCTCGTTAACACTAAAGAAGGCACAATTCTTGGCAGATTTTGAGGAAACTTGGTGAAATTTCTTCATCAAAATATTTGATTGAGTTATTGCCATTGTTCTTGAAAACATATTCAATTTTGAGCTTGTAAACACTGTAAGAGTGTTCTTGCTCGATTTTGACAAAACTTTGTGATACTGTACTGCCAAATACTACCCAAAAATTTTCGCTAGATCAAACATCATTGGTACGATTAGAAACAAAGTTGAATTTCTTTGAGAAGTTTAGAATGCCCAATGCCAGACAAATTACCCACCAGATACGCCCAATAGTTGGATATACACTGGATGTTGTACCAATCTATATTTTATCAAGAGAATTATTGTTTTTTTTTTATCTCAATTCGCAGCAGGGGGTCCGGAAGACGTTTAGTGCATTATATACACTATCATTCTTACATAATTCGGCTTCGTTGTTCGTTTGACCAAATTGTTATTGGCTATCGATCTATATCCAAAAGTATTATCTTGACCTATGCAGGGATTCGACCTTGGGCCAAACTTGACCTTCTGGTCTGTGGCTCCCATCAATATATTTGATGCCTATAGTGGCAAATAGCATGGGAGAGTGCGGCCCGAGGGGATGCCTTCTAGGGCTGATCATCAGATTGGGCTTTCATCTGTCCTCGGTAATCTCCAACAACACGTTTTTAGCTAATTTGAAGGTCTGGTGAAATTCTTACAGATAAATGCAGTATTAAACACATATTTTTATTAATCTGTCCAATAAACAACTTTTAACAACAAACATTACAATAAACATATTTCCAACATTATTTTTAAGGAAGGAATTGTACGGCAGGATTTATCTTATACTGAATGCTGCAGAACATTTAAAAATATGTTCGTTTTGATTCCTGCGTAAGTCACAACCCTAAACATTAACATGAAGAAAACTTCGACACTTGGTCACAATTTACATTAAGGGTTAAGACTCATAAACAGTATTTCATGATGTTAAAATTGCTGATTTGTTTTATAGTGTTACCACTCTACAATTTGGTAAAGGGATGTGATCAAATAAAAATTTCCTTCACCAGCCGATGGACCTGAAACTCAGATGCTTGTAGCTCTTTTCAGAATTAAATTCTGACATCTAGTACCTCTACTTTTCAACAACATATCTGCTGTCATTTCAGGGATGTTTACAGCATTTTTATGTGCAAACATCGCCAATAAGATGAAGTTTTCAATCAGAACTGCCTCATCTTCTCAATGTCAAGCTGTGTCTAATACCTTGACTTCATCAACTCTTTTCTTAAATCATTTGTAAATGCAATGATTTGGTTAGATTGTACGCTAGTAAAAGCAGCCAATCAGAGCCCTTGAGATTAAGTATGTCAACCATAAACATTAACGTTCAGTCTTCATGTTGAGGGCTCTGATTGGCTGTATTGACTGTTGTACAATCCAATCAAATTTCTGAATTCCTTAATACTAGAAAAGAAGCCAATGAAGTCAAAACTGCGTAACTGTCTTTGAGAATGATAATATTGTAAGAGATTACTGCCTCGTGGTATGAATTTGGTTAATTGCAGGAAAACAAGCCTTGCAATGTTTAGGTTAGCTATTTCAACTGAATTCATCTAGCTAGATATTGTCACATTGGCAATGATTGGAGGAAATCAAATCCTGTATGGACTCATCAATATCTCGCTTAATTTATCAAATCAAACAGACTGAAAGCTGACACCAGAGGTTATGGGCTGTAGCAATAAGTGAACACAGCTGCATCCCTTAAACCAGAGCTGTTGATTTGGCTCTATATGCCGGACATGACCAACAAGGAAGCACAAATGACCGACGGACAAGTATAGGTTGGCCATAACATGTCAGACAATGTCTTTCAAAGAAAAATAGATTATGACATTTCGGTAATGAAATACAAAATAATGTAACAAATCTAACACCATCAGATGATATGTTATGAACTAAAAGGATATTTTGGGTCCCACCATGGAATGACTTTGATATTCACAACAGAATCTAAAACAACAGTAGTACCTACAGCATCGCGATTATGCTGATAGCGAGTATCAAACACCAAACGTAGAGTATGGTACCGAAAGCCCTGCCCAGATACAGTTAGGTGCACATGGTTTAAAATTTGTCCCATAGCTATCGGTAAAGATAGAAAATGGGAACAAGTCACTTGTAATATGGTACACCCTTCTTCAACATTGTAAAATATATCGTCATAATTGTCAATATAAGTCCGTTGGTTTTTACAGACTGTTCGACAAGACATTCCTGGTCGCACCAATTTGAAGCAAAAGTTCCACATATTTTTCACCGGTTGGTACCAATAGAGCAGACATCTTCGACCAATCAGTTTGTGTGGCTCAGCTTCAAATGTACTGGCTGGATTAAGCCTATCTATAAATGGTTGGTAAAAATGATACAGTGCTCGAACAACATTGGGTTGAAGACTATGTATCCTCTCTAAACAAAGAGGTTGTAAAGTTTTAGGGAGTTTGATTTCCTTATTGTAAAACCTGAAATATAATGAAAGGGGGTTTTATAAACTTATTCGAAAGGGATCTTTAAAAGTGTTCAAATCTGTAGCAAACTAGGTCTTTGTTCTTTGTTCTGCAGATACTTTGACATCTTCACCATGTCAAGCTATTACTAACTTCGTCTTATACCTTGACTGCAATAGCCACCTTTCTTGTATTACAGAAGTATGTTTGTTGTATTATATGCTAGCAAATACAGACAATTAGAGTCTTCAACAGAATGTCTGTAACCAATAAGCCATAATGTTAATGATCTGTCTGTTGATAGCTATGATTGGCTGTTATCACTGGCATACAATCCAATCCAATTGTTGCAATCTGTGATACAAGAAAGGTGGCTATTGCAGTCAAGGTATAGGATGAAGTACATAAGAGCTTGACATTGTGAAGATGATACTTTGAAAAATAGAAAACAAAAACATTTATTCCACATAATTAATCTTATGCAACTTTTCTACCCTTGGTTTGTGACACAGCAAAATCTTTACATTTTACCTCTTGCTAAATGCACTTTTTCAAATAAAAAAATTGTAAATTGATTCTAGAATGCGTCCTAAAATTCATCATTATCTCTTCAAAGCCCTAAAGTTTATTGAAATTTAAAGAAACAACAAAAGAAATTTTCTAACCTTTGGTATAGATTTTTCCAGAAGGCAACAGTACAGACAATTTGATTGGTTGATTTACACAGTCTGGAGAAGACGGAAACAGATTCAGGATAGACATAGTATGATAATTGATACCATAAATCTACTGGATAATCTATCCCTTTCTTTCTACAGAGTTCTCTCCCTTTCCTTACTCTATTAACTTTTCTTGGTGATGCTGGTTCTGCCTGATCATTTTCTGTTTAGAACACAGAATGATTTAATTATTATGAATAGAAATTATTCGAAAAACATATTTACAATGGGGAAATGAGTGAGCCCCAATCCTAACATCTTCTCAATGACAAGCTATTAAGAACTTTGTCTTTATGCCTTGACTACTATGGCTCCTTTTCTTGTATCAGAGAAGTTTGTAAATGCAGCGATTTGGTTGGATTGTATGTTAGTGAATACAGCTATGTCCTGGACAGAACTGCAGTTAATAATAAACCATAATGTTAACATAAACAAATCTTTTGAGTGCTGGCTATGATTGGCTGTATGTGCTGGCATACAATCCAATCAAATAAATGCATTCCGTGATACAAGAAAGGTGGCTATTGCAATTGTGAAGATGGTTATAGGTATGAAGGAGCGAGTGGTCAGCCCCAGTCGTAGGTAGTACATCTTACACATCTCTCATCGGCTGAAAGAATAAGTGAAAGTGGTGCCATTGTCCTAGCAGTACCCCATTGTACACTGCATGACAAAGATGTTACCCAAGAATCTCACTGTGTGCAGTCTAACAGCAAGCACCAACATACTGCACTTTTTGTTTTAATATATCAATATTTACAAACTTTATTTCTAATTTGTATGGTTTGGAGCTAAGGTGTACCTTGATTGTTTGATTCTTCAGTTGTTTCGTCAACTATCTCAAATTCATCTAAATCCTTCTCAAACCAACTAAGATCCTCTTTGCCTACTTTAGATGTCATATTCAGATTCTTAGCTGAAATTAAAAAAAAACAAGTGGTTGTCTAGCAAGATACGCCCACTTTCCTGATACATTTTCAGTATATCAAGGTCGGTCACCAACCTATGTCAAATCATACCAAAAATCTAATTTGTGCAAGATATTGCTGATTTAAACAAACACACATTATAAATTCTGACATAAACTGTCACCTATATCGCCAACAAATTTTGATGCGTTTTTACTAAGTCAAGGGCAATAACTCAAATTCCGATGATCAAAAACTTGTCAAATTTAATCGGATGAAAACTGTACTCTCTATGGTATTTGATGTCAAGTTTTATTATTTATTACACCAAGTTCAGTATACATCAAATGAATCGCTGTACTACTAGTGGTATTGGTATTCCCATCAAAAAGTCTTCTGTGATTGGTTATTGCTGCCTGTTTTGTCTTTTTGGAATCACCACATTATAATGTGGGCATATTAAAATCATTATGAATATGCACCATTTGGAATAAAGTCATATCATTAAAAATTCAATTCCGTCCGTCAGGCCTCATAGTTCTGATGTAACTAAATGTCAGCAGATACAGTCCATCTGTATCACCTTTCAGAATCAAAATTTGAATTCAGGTTTATCTGCAATTCAACAATAAAGTGCTATGGAAGTTAAGTTTCACTGTAACACAAACATTTAGGTGAGTATTTCTATCAAGTTTAAACTTACCATCCAACTGGGCATTAACTACACTCTTTCTAACATGGGCACTGGGATTGTTCATTGAAGCATTGGCAAAATCACCCAATGTAACATCTGAAATGAAATGAATGGAGATTTTAGTCCTACTTTTCTGCACCATGTGGGCTAATGAAGACGGCAACGCCATGTTGGGTACACAATGAGGGAAATTTTGCCAGGACAGCGGCATTAGCCTGCTATTCTTGATTTCCAACTGTCGAGGAATCTTTAACATGCAAACAGGGTCTCAGTTTAAAGTCCTATCTTAACAACTAGACGCTTTTTCTATGTCAGCCCTCCTTTACTGGGTTGAAAAACTGAAGGTAGTTTCTCGACCTATGTCGGGATTGAACCCCAGACCCTCAGGTTAGCGAGCAAGCATCTAACTCACTAAGCCAAATTTAACATCTGAAATTTTTTTTTATATCATTGGAACATGTAAAAAATATCAGTGGGGTTTGAAATACTAGGCTTACCAGCTGTAATGACTGAATCAAAATGACCCCTAACAATTTTCAGAAAAACTAAAAGAAATTTTATGAAATAAGAGTTCTAAACTTGTGTATTAGAGCCATGAATTCCTTTTATTTGCATCATTCCAAATTTTCTGCCTAATGTCGGTTGTTTCTATATTTATAGAAATGCTTAATCTTATATGACGTCATAAGTTATTAGCAGCTTTTGCATTAGTGACGTCATTAAATACCTAGTGTTAGTGGAAATGCAAGACCAACAGACAGCTGATTGAAAACTGGAATGGTGCAAATTAAAGCTATTAGTGTCCCCAATACACATAAAAAGTTTATAAAACATCTTTACAATTCCTTCAAGACGTTATGTACGGATTATATTAAATGAAAAATTAATTTTTAATCGGCTTTTATTGATAAAATTACAGGAAAATATATTTCGAAGTACTTTTAGAAATACCAATAAAAGAGGGATTACTTTTCTATACAATCAAACTCTACAGTTCACCATGAAATCACAGTTAAAAAGTCTCCTTTAAACTAAATATTTTAGTTTATGTTGACAATTTCAATTCCAAGTGTATTTAACTTAGGTCAATATCTCTCAACATACAAGACAAATAAAGTCATTTGAAAACCATAATGATGAGTTTGGGGAAACACCATAGATTAATAAATAGGCCATTCACATCATTCTTAATTGTAAGGGATTGATCTGAGTTATAAAATGGTAGAATCTCCTTTCTATTTATTGTCAAGTATCACAAGAATGGATTAAAGATCAACAGATTTTCAATTAGTTAATTATTTGATGATCAGACAGATCAAAGAGAAGTGATAATCACTGGATAATGATCCTTCAAAGGCATGTCATCAGGAATATACTGGGCTAATATCACTGATGTTGAAAAGGAGATTCATAAAGATTTAATAATTTAGAGTAGAAACTACTGTGAAGTAGACTAATGTTTGACCCAGCTAAAAGCTCAGGTTGACTCTTGCTTTTTAGAGAATCGAACACGCGATTTGACAAGTTCGACCAGAGAGGATTAATCAAAGTCACCTTAGGGTGGGAGGCATTTGCTTGCCAAAGACAGTAACATCTACTTTCGATTTGTTGACCTACTTTCCAAAAAATCATTCGAAACCCGGCTGTTACAAATGATAAAAAACTATAAAGTAAAAGATAGAATACCATTTATCGCCATGTTCTCACAACGAGCGAGTCTTCTCTCTTTCTTGGTAACCCTTGGCATCTTGGCGTGTCTCGTAAACCCCCCTAATATGACCCATACTTCTACATTTTTAAAGAGTTTTGGTTTTCGGCCATTATTGTTTATAGACTAGCGCCACCTGTTGGTCAGTGACGTAATTTATTGGTAGTTGGAGCAAAGCACAAAATTCTGCACAAATTAACCCATGACATGTATTAAACTTACTTTTGAATCTATGGAATACGGAAAATTCTACCCTTTACTTATTTTGTACGACTTCAATCTTAAATATTAATCCCATAAACTATTACAAGAAATGTATCAAGAAAGTAATATGATTAACCAATCAGAGTTATCGCACCTGCTAATGGAATTATGGGATTGACCCACTTTCTAAAAGAAAATGGCTTCTTTGATAATGTGACGGAAATGAGTAGCCGGTATTTCAAGAGAATTACACCTTTTGTAGGTGTTAGAAGACCACATTGATGAAGCGTCGGAAAGTTCATTGTTTTGTCGGACTTATGAAACGTTTGAACGGAATATATATATTGTAAGTGGAGTCTTGGAGGACTGCAAATCTGTGAACATTTGAATGGTCTTGGAGTAAACTTCTTCCAACACCATCCCCAACTTTTAGGTTGGATCCCACAGTTTATATTGTGTTAGACGTGCATCGATAATAAATAAGTCGCCAAGATGATGTGCGATGTAATGCCGACCATCTCTGAGGATGGCACTAATGACAGAGACTCCCAGGATTGTGGGGAGGACTCTAATTTTGAACAGTTGATGGTGAACATGTTGGATGAAAGGGATAAGTTGATGGAAACACTTGGTGAAACTCAGGAAGCTTTATCTCGGAGCCAAGCCAAGTTAATGGAAGTTGAGAAAGACAGGGGATATCTGCAAAAACAGTTGCAAATGACAACACCTCAGGTAGGTGTGATTTTCTTTGATGTTGTGTGGAAGGTGTCAGACTACTGTGGTGAATGTCTTGTAATGTCATTGACAGTTCCATTTATGTGGCAGCCATATTGTATAAATTAAGCCCCATTTGAATAAGAAATGATGCTCTAATGGGTGTATGTTTCATATAATTGTTCATTAGCACTTATTTAAGTTGATATAGAGATTATTAGTCAGTTTTCAGCTAAAACATGGCTATCTATATCTTGAATTAACATGACTGGAGAAAAGTGATGTCATCCAAGCCTCATTTTCAACCTGATTGGTCAATATTTTACAATTTTCTTCAGAATTTCTAAGAGTAAGAGTTGCATGAAACATGTGAATGGCATGATTCAGTTTTAGAGTATATTTTATGATAAACTCGAAATAAAACCATACATATTAATTAGGTCATTTAAATGATGTCATTTTATTTCCCTGTAGGAAAATATTCCCCTACACTCCAGAATATTAAACTATAAAATATTCAATTTAAACTCTTGTTCATTTTGAAAGAATTTAAATTGGTTTGTGGTAACCTCATTTCATTCAAGAATTTGCATAACACAACTTATGAGTGAGGAAGTAAAATAAATCTTACCTGTTTACTTCTACCATGTCGGTTACCTTGTTATTATGAAATAAGCTTATCAAATAAGACAGATTGTACTTGTAGTTTCTATTTTTATCAAGTTGTCATGTCTATATTTAAAAATTGAAGACATATTGAGTACCATATATAAGCTTATACAAAACAATTTTATTTCAGAATCATAGTTAACTACCTGGCATATCTGATCATAAACAAAAGTGACAAAGTTTAGGGTGTGAAAAACTATTTTCTCTCTGCTATTTAGCTTGACAGTATTTCAACAAATCAAATCAAAACTATATTTTATCTCAAAGACTTAAAGTTTTTGACCTCTCATTAAGTTTATCTTTGACCACTCATTAAGTTTATCCAATCAATGTTTATATAAAAATATTAAAGATGATACAAGACTGGATTAGATTTGGATTTGAAACACTTGTTGGTAGTATAAGATTTACTCGTCCATTGTGTTGAATATATGCAATCTTTCAAGTGGGTTTTCTTAAAAATTTTTGTGTTTCGGGCACCCTGATAGCATCAATTTTCACCATTCCAATTTTTCATCAAACATTTAGTTTTAGTGGAATTGCAGTAACCACAGATGCTGATTGAAAAATTGGAATGTTGCAAATCAATACTATTAAAAAAAAAATCACTTCTTTACTATCACGAAAAGAAATCTAATAGTAAGACAAAAGATCTGAAGAATCTTAAAAATTTACCCAAGGACCCCAGATAAATAGTAATGACCTATCCTTAAACTAAATTATTCATTTCAAATTAAAGGGCCATTCAAGTAGGAGTCGTGCCAAGCCTAATAATCAAAAGTATAGAAGTGACAAAAGTGTACTGATATTTAACATTTAACATATTTAAAGAGTAAGCTTATTACCTTAATCTTGGAAAGAAAAAGCAAAAAGATTGAAATTGATTATGTATTTCGATAATCAAAATTATAAATTCCTAGCTATGATAATTGATAATTTTACCCAACTTTAGCTTTAGCTGTGACATAATTTTGTTTTTTTCTTTTTCGTTATTTTTATTCATGGTCATTGAATGCAGTTCTTACTTTTTTTTTGGCGTTTCTTTAGTAGATAAAAATTCTACATATAATCTTAAACACCTAAAATAAAAGCAAAGTAAGCGTTTTCCCAATTAACAAGAATCTTTGAAAATCATGTAAACCTCAACATACACAGAATCATAAACATTTTTGGTACCGGAAATAACATTCTTCATCTGGCTATGAACTTTAAAAAAATATTAAGCTTATTGCTTATCGTCATAATGTTAAAGAAGATAATTGCTGACTTTTAGACTATTATCAAAAATAACCCCACTTTTTTACTCTCAAATGTAAATGATGATAATTATGAACATGTTGAATAATTATGGACAGTTATTCATATTAAGTCATCTACAAACAATATTCTAACATTACTTATGAACAATGAAACTTTTGTCCATTGAGATTTTCTGAAAATAAGTCTAATACATGCAGCAGATCATGGATACTTGACTTAATGTCTTTGACTTCAAAGGGGCATGAACATAGCTTATGGTGATAAAAGTACCGGTACCATTAATTTCATCAGATAAGCCTGAATTGTCTATTGTTTCAGACTAGAAGATTTAATATCGCATATTGCTACATTGTCAATACATGTGTAATCTTATATCTTCAAGATAAGCCTTCTTCTGTTTCAGTTGTAGTGAAAGAGGCCTATTCATCTGATAGATAAACCTGTAGAGGTGTATTGGCCTCAGCCTTTATAGTTATTTGATCTAGTCATACCTTAGTATAGAGAACTGGTTAGCTTTACCTCTTACTTCTATGATCAAGGGGTGCCCTGAGTACAGTACATTCATATCATTATTAACATATGTCATATTTTGATATAGATCCTATATAGCAGTGTAGCTTCCCACCTGGGCTACTTGATTTCTAGACTAAAATTAGAATCTATTATCTTTCCTGTTTATTTTATATCTTAGTTCAGTATTACACAAATGTCCAGCCTAATTCTACAGTATTGAAGCAGAGTTGGTAGTCTTCTGGTTTTTAGCTCCCGAAAAAATGCCTTTTTGATTCATTTAGAATGGTTGATTTAGAATTTAAGTTATGCAAAAAGGTTAATATATGTGTACAAGATATCAATGATATCTAAGCTTAGGCCCTACACACATAATATCTAAGCTTATCCCCTACACACATAATGTCTAAGCTTAGACCCTACACACATAATATCTAAGCTTAGACCCTACACACATAATATCTAAGCTAGGCCCTACACACATAATGTCTAAGCTAGGCCCTACACACATAATGTCTAAGCTTAGACCCTACACACATAATGTCTAAGCTTAGACCCTACACACATAATATCTAAGCTTAGACCCTACACACATAATGTCTAAGCTAGGCCCTACACACATAATGTCTAAGCTTAGACCCTACACACATAATGTCTAAGCTAGGCCCCACACACATAATGTTTAAGCTTAGGCCCTACACACATAATGTCTAAGCTAGGCGCTACACACATAATATCTAAGCTAGGCCCTACACACATAATGTCTAAGCTTAGACCCTACACACATAATATCTAAGCTAGGCCCTACATACATAATGTCTAAGCTAGGCCCTACACACATAATGTCTAAGCTTAGACCCTACACACATAATATCTAAGCTAGGCCCTACACACATAATGTCTAAGCTTAGACCCTACACACATAATATCTAAGCTTAGACCCTACACACATGATGTCTTAGCTAGGCCCTACACACATAATGTCTAAGCTAGGCGCTACACACATAATATCTAAGCTAGGCCCTACACACATAATGTCTAGGCTTAGACCCTACACACATAATATCTAAGCTAGGCCCTACACACATAATGTCTAAGCTTGGCCCTACACACATAATGTCTAAGCTTAGACCCTACACACATAATATCTAAGCTAGGCCCTACACACATAATGTCTAAGCTTAGACCCTACACACATAATATCTAAGCTTAGACCCTACACACATAATGTCTAAGCTAGGCCCTACACACATAATGTCTAAGCAAGGCCCTACACACATAATGTCTAAGCTTAGACCCTACACACATAATATCTAAGCTTAGACCCTACACACATAATATCTAAGCTAGGCCCTACACACATAATATCTAAGCTAGGCTTTAAAATATTTTGAATAGACTGTAAAAACTTCATTTCTGCTGGAAAAAAAAAATAGAATGGTACGGTATTTGGACGAAGCACTTTTATTTATGAAGACTGCAATTAATAAGCTGACTGATTATTGAGAATGCCTAAACAAGTCTAAACTTTTGCTTGATTGTATAAGAACGTTCATTCTAAAAAGAAATCTTACAGATAGCTTAACAGATGACTTTAAAGAGACAGGTTCGCTATCAGTTGACCAATTGTACTTTTGTGTCAAAAAAGGGAATATTTTTAACTGAGACAATCGTAATAGCGTTCACAGCTCACCGTCCAAATTTAAGCCTTCAAATCCATGTGTCCAGAATTATTAGCGTTTGATAAAATGACGATTCATCATTTCAGAAACTGCCAGAAAAGACTTCATAGATAAAAAGTGAAAGTCCTAATTCGAGGTATTTTTGAAGAAATTGTGCAATTTTTGTACATTCATGAATTAGTACTTCTGAATATACATATATTAAATACCTTAATCAACTCACTAAAACTGCAAACCTGTGGCCTTTACTAATATTAAACCTAAATAGAGGGAGAATATAGATGAGGTTTTTTGTATGATATAAAGTAGTGAAATAGTAGTAAATCAATAATCAGTGAGCTAGAAATAGTTTCAGTAGAATCAAGATATACTTAGTATTAAACACACCATGAAGCTCAATGACTGATGATGCTCAAATGACTAACACTAAGTAAGGAAAGCAGATATATCAATAAAATACGCCTTACAATTAGCTTTGTTAGTTTCTTTATTCTGTTAGTAGATGAAGTTGGGTCTCAAGTCTTTTTTTTTTCAAATGATTAAATGATGGTAGTCTCCTGATATCATGATAAAACATGCCACAATAAGCGTATTGCACCCTGAGTTCATGTAGCAATACTTGATGATATCTCTCATTCCATAAAAAGTGGGGTTTATTTATATGTTATTTTTAAGTTGAATTTGGTTTGAAAGACTTTAAATCATGTTAGCATGCTTTCGGGAATATCATTAGTGATGTCATGATATAGCGGTGTATAGCAATAAAACACACCACTATAAGTACCCTGAGTTCATGTAGAGATACTCAATATCTCTCATTCCATAAAAAGTAGGGATTTTTTAAGTTTGCGAATGGAATCACAATCTTTTCTGGTGGACTTGACTGACATCGGATCTTAACCACTCTCATCAACTTCATAAAGTTATTAATTAATAATGATTGAAACTTTGGTGATTTTTATATTTTTATCCCATTACCCCATACGGCGATACATATCATATTGTGACCCTTGTGTTGCTATACGTATTGTGAAACTTGTATTGGGATACATATCGTATTGTGACCATTGTGTTGCGATCCGTATTGTGAAACTTGAATTCAGATACATATCATATTGTGTCCCTTGTGTTGCGATACGTATTGTGACCCTTGTATCACGATATATATCGTATTGTGACCCTTATATCGCAATATATATCGTATTGTGGCATGATTGGCAATACCCAGAACTAATTATCATAAGATATATTCGATGCCAAGAAATCTGATTGATCTACACCTGTATTATGAAAGGTTTTAAGATCACAGTATTATGTTGCAGGGTGGTTATTAGCATTTACCCTTGCAAATATGAACAACTTACTTTGTTGATGGTTATACCTAACTTTATCTAATAGTAGATGAACCACATTCCAATTTTT